GTTTCCGTTCGTCCCCTGCCCGGGTCAGGGAGGCAACCAGTCGATGTGTCCCTCTCATGTCGATGTTTTTCTCTCTCTCTCCCCTTTTCTCCCTCTCTCTCCCTCCCACTCTATCTGAAGATAAATAGGAAAAATAGCCTCGGGTGAGGATTAAAAAAAATTATTCAGAAGATGTTCCCTCTCTCTGGGTTTCAGATTGAAAAATCTGCAGGTAGCAGTTTTGTCCTGTGCGCGTGTGTGCGCACGCGCCACATAGTTGCAGAGAGCACCCTAACACCTTTGCTACATTATCCTTACTCCCTAAGCTCTTTCCTGTCTCCAGGAGGAAGTTCAGTACACATTCGTCTCTGGATGTCCCAAGGGCACCTCAAGTTCAAGTACATAAAAAGAGATAAACTAGCCCGGCAGGTGTGGCTCAGTGGTTGAGCCTAGTCCCATGCACCAAGAGGTTGCCAGTTCAACACCAGTCAGGGAACATGCCTGGGTTTCCACCAGATCCCCAGCAGGGGGCGTGCAGGAAGCATCTGATCTGTGTTGATGTTTCTCTCTCATCAATGTTTCTTTTTTTTTATCCTCACCTGAGGACACTTTTCCATTTTTTGTTCAGACAGAGTGGGAGGGAGGGAGAGAGAGAAACATCGATATGAAAGGGACACATCGAGTGGTTGCCACCCGCACGACCCAGCCAGGGATGGGGACAAACTGCAACCGAGGTACGTGCCCTTAGCAGGAACCGAACCCGGGTCTCTCTGGACCGCAGGCCGACGCTCTAACCGCTGAGCCAAACCGGCCAGGGCTTTCATCGATGTTTCTATCTCTCTCTTCCTCTCCCTTCCTCTCTTTCTATATTCATTAAAAATATATACATATTTTTAAAAAGAGATAAATTACTGCCCTGGCTGGTTTGGATCAGCAGTTAGAGCATCGACCCGCGAACCAGAGAGGCCGGGGTTCATTCCCACTAAGGGCTCGTACCTCGGCAGCAGTTTGTCCCTGGCCCCAGCTGGGGTCGTGCGGGTGGCAACCACTCGATGTGTCTCTCTCACATTGATGTTTCTCTCTCTCCCTCCTGCTCTATCTCAAGATAAATGAAAACAAAAGAGAGATAAATTACTATCGTTGCCAACAAACTAGATCTTCTTCCTGTGGGAAGTCATCATTCCCTGTCTTGTCACAGAATTCAGATACCCGAAGTCATGCGTGCACATTACTACAGCACAGCTTTGAAAATGATGGAATCACATTCTGCGTAAACATATTATCAAATATTTTATTCAACTCAGTAATGTGGGAAATGGTAAGCCCTTAAGACTGTCCAGGCAGCTCAGTTGGTTAGAGCATTGTCTGGATACGCCAAGGTTGTGGGTTTGATCCCAGTCGGGGCACATACAAGAATCAGCTAATGAATGCATCAATAAGTGGAATGATACATTGATGTTTTTCTCTCCCTCTTTCCCACCCTCTCTAAAATCTTTTTTTTTTTTTAAATTAAAAACAAAATAAGACAAGGGATTCAAATGTCAGGTGTTCTCATTAATAACTCGTGGGTGGAAACACTGACTAATATTCTCCAACCAGGATAAATTAGTTCTTGGATTTAGATTTTCTAGGAGATGGCTTTTACTAAAAACTGAAAATGAAGGTTGGCTCATTCTCAACATGTTGTTTGCATGCAAGACACTAGAAATTAAACACAGAGATGACGGACTCAAGGCTAAAGCCATTGCCCAACATTCAAAAACAATTTAAAAGGCTTTTAAGAATCTTCTCTGCGGGAGCTTTTGGGAAGGTGCTGATTGCACTGGGGAGTCAGTAGTCACTTAGCAGGATCCGATGACATCAGTCTGAATCATGCTAGGGTATAAAACTAGTATGAGGTCATTTCAAGCTACTCAAATGGGTGGCTGGAGAAAGGTGCCAGTCACTCTTTATTACCTCCGCTAGCAACAAAAGGACTGAGTCCAGGGAAACCAAGGACTGAATGAATCAGACTAAATAAGGAGGGTGGTGATAATTGTGTCATTAAGGCCGTAATACTGGGAGTCTGTCTGCTTACTTCTTCTATTGGCCCTAAGCCAACTTCTCCAAAGGGGATTCCACGGTCATTAAATATGCCGTCTGCTTTCCACAGCCTGGCTTTTCTTACCGCAGCCACTGAAAAGTGTTTTCTGGGTTACTGGGAGTTTGTTGCGGGTCACTGGGAATGTCGTCATGGGTCTGCAGACATGTTGGTAATGCTCAGCTTCCCTTCCAACAGCAGACTAGTCCGCGGCCGATGTGACCGCGTGTAGGAGAGTAAAGCCGATTTTCCTGAACGGCTTCTGGACATCAGTCTCATGTCCTCAGTGAGCCGTCACATCAGACAAGCCCACAGATGATTATCCTTCAGGGAGGTGCGGTCAAAGAAGTAGCAAGGGCCGGGGGCGGGGGGTGGGCAAAGGACTGACCTTTTTTCATTTCTTCTTCTTTAATTGATTTATTATTAGAGAGAGGAAGGAAGAGGGAGAAATGTCGATGTGAGAGCAAAACATCCATTGGCCGCCTCCTGCACGCCCTCCCACGGGGGACCGAGCCAGCAACCCGGGCATGTACCCAGACTGGGAATCAAACTGGCAACCTTTGGGTGCACAGGACGATGCCCAAGCGAGCCACACTGGCCAGGGCAGGACTGACATTTTTCTATTTGACTGGTGGGCTCAGGAGCTGCTCTTCAGAAGGGTGACTATTAAGGCCATTTGTAAGATGGACTGACAGACAGGAAGGGGAAGGCTAGAAGTCATGAGAATCCAAGAAAAGGAAACAACTCTGGTGTTAGGGCCGGGAGGTTAGGGATGAATGAGAGATTTTTACATGGAGTATGAAGGGGGAGCACCATTTGCCACCCCAAAATATGCCTCTTTGGGCCCTGACAGGGTAGCTCAGTTGGTGAGAGCACCATCCCAATACACCAAGTTTGTGGGTTCGCTCCGGTCAGAGCAGGTGCAAATCAACCAATGGATGCAGAAATGTGCAACAAAATTGATCTCTCTCTTCCCCACCCCCTCTCTAAAATCAGTCAATAAATCTTTTTTTGTTTTAAAAATATGACTCTGTCCGGTCGGTGTGGCTCAATGGTTGAGCGTCGACCCATGCTCCAACAGGTCACTGGTTTGATTCCCAGTCAGGGCACATGCCCACGTTGAGCCAAGTCCCCAGTGGGGAGCAAGAGGTGGCCAATCGACGTTCTCCCCCTCACTTCCTCTCTCTAAAATCAACAAAGGAAAAAAAAATGTTTTTAAATATGACTCTTTGGGATTTTGATTATTGAAACTGTCTAAGAATCAGCAGATCTGGGAGAAGCTCTGAGAACCCTAGTAAAAGTTATGTATAATATGCCCAGCCGGTGTGGCTCAGAGGACACAGAGTTGTTCTATGGACTGAGAGGTCCCGGTTCGGGGCTGTGGGCTCGATCCCCGAACAAGGGCGAAGGAGGGGGCATGCAGGAGGCAGCAGGTCGATGTTTCTAACTCTAAAAAAAAAAATCAATAAGAACTTAAGTTATAAACATTTACGTTTGTAAGATCTGCATCTGTAAGGGTGCTTCCCTCCCAGAACAGACTTGCCTTCACCCTCACTGAAGCCCAGGGCTTAACTCTCCATAACCTTCCCCTTGTTTTCTGTGCTCTTCCGGGTCACCTCATCAACACCCTTCAGCTGAGGGCGGTACTTAAGGGGGTGGCTTCCACTATTTTGATAAATTACTATGTTCTTGGGTCTCGCCCGTGTACAGGTGTACATATTAGTGACTTGATTTTCTCCTACTAATCAGTGTTGTGTTCATCTCATTATCAATCCAGCCAGGAGAACAGGGGCGAAGGATTTTTTCTCCCCAACAATGCATGAGAACCTAGTAACAGTGCCCGACATGTAGTTGGCGTTCAGTATGTGACTGCACGGGCTTGTAGTTAGGAAGAGCGCACGGAAGACAGGTAGGTGGGTAGCTGGGCAGCATGGTTGGTAGGCACGACCTACCACACAGGAGAGCAGAAACCTGCCGGGAGCAGGAAGGGAAAAGACGAGTCCAAACAGATCTGTGGTCAAAAGATGTGTCAGAACAATTCCCTCAGCCAAACAGCCCCTGGTGCCTTTGTACCTGATCCCTGGCTTTGCAGGGGCTACTGGCGATTTAGAGGTACAGCTGGGGAGAATAAACCTGGCAGCCGGACAGGATCCAGTGAGATGCCAGAACCAAGCACAATGCCTGGGCCTCAACGTCCAGGTTGGGGGGTGACCACTGCAGGTGCACTTAAAAAAGGACACGCACAGCCCTGGCTGGGTAGCTCAGTTGGTTAGAGTGCCGTACCCAAACGCCAAGGGTGTGTGTTCCATCTCTGGTCAGGGTACATACAAGAAGTAACCAATAAATGCATAAATAAGTGGAACAACAAATCAATGTTTCTTTCTTAAAAAAAAAAAAAAAAAAGATGCACTCCCAGCCCCAGGTGCTTCCCAATGCCGCTGCCATCTTTGTGGTGCCCACTTTGGGTGGGTGCCCAAGTACCTTTAGAAACAGTTTATGCTGAGCATAAGCTACTCAGCAATTCCCAGAATTCTTGTGCTCATCAATTATTTATCCCTTATAAATGCTACCATCAAAACTGAAGTTAGGTATTTCAGCTCAACAGGGGGTTTGGGGAGACTACCAGGAACAAAATAATCTGAGTCTAAAGTGGGGGGGAAGGAACTTCCTAACAGTTACACTTTAAACAAGGCAAAGAATATTCCTTTGCCCCTAGTAGTTAAAAATAAATTCATAAATTATGAACTTATATTTTATATGGACTATTTTAGTCTTTGAACATGAGTTAGTGAAATTTTAAAAAATAAAACCAGTAAACATTGTGACATTTGTCACTTTACCTCTCACTTTAGTTTGAACATAAAAGGTGCTGAAAGGCACTGAACTGCCAGTTCAAACAGCATCTTTTTATCCAGGAACTTCTCATCCTTGTACACACATTTTTAATAGGCTTTATTTTAAAGAAATCTTACATTTACAGAAAAATTAAGGTAGTACATAGTGCTCGTTACATTTAATAAACCAGTATCAATCCATTATCATGAACTAGAATCTATACCTGCATTTCAATTACAATTATATAAGCAATCAAAACAAAACTTATTTTACTAGAAACCTACAAACTCAAATAGACAGAGAGAGCACGTGAGAGCACCTGCCGATGCGGCCAGGAGACAGAACGTAAGAAATGCGACTCAAGGAATCAACGAAGAAACGAGCAGGAGCTTTCAGGGCCGCCACAGGCTGAAAAGCACGATGAGCTAACCGGGTGTGCACAGAGGAAGAGGCTAGGGAGAGACTGACTCAGGGTAGGGGCTGTCACACTCATTCTGCTGTTAAGCCCAGAGGAGGAGGGAACGAATGTAGGTTGTGGATGAACACTAACACCTTAGTGGGCACGCCAATCCCCGGCCCCCCGCCCCGCGCTGTGTTAACCTGAACGAAGCATAAAGATCCCTCTAACCGCGGCACGCCGGCTCACTTCACCAGCTGTTTGGCCGCCAGTCTCTTGTCTCTCTCTTCGGCAATGGTGAGGCGGATGCCCTTGCCACGGGGCAGGGAGATCCACGGCTTGTTGCCTTTGCCGATAACAAAAATGTTGGAGAGCCGGGTGGCAAAGCTGTTGCCATTACCATCTTTCACATGAACCACGTCAAACGAGCCAGGGTGTTTCTCCCTGTTGGTGATCACGCCGATTCTTCCCAGGTTGGCACCCCCGGTCACCATGCACAGGTTACCGGTGTCGAACTTGATGAAATCGGTGATCTTGCCGGTCTCCAGATCAATCTGGATGGTGTCGTTCACCTTGATGAGGGGATCGGGGTAGCGGATGGTGCGCGCATCGTGGGTCACCAGATGAGGGATTCCCTTTGTGCCCACAAAGATCTTCCTCACTTTGCACAGCTTGTACTTGGCCTCCTCGGGTGTAATACGATGAACGGCAAAGCGACCCTTGGTGTCATAGATCAGACGGAAATTCTCTCCGGTCTTGTCAATGCTGATGACATCCATAAACCCAGCAGGGTAGGTGACATCGGTTCGGACCTTGCCATCGATCTTGATGAAGCGCTGCATGCAGATCTTCTTGACTTCGTCGCCTGTGAGGGCGTACTTCAGTCTGTTCCTCAGGAAGATGATGAGAGGGAGACACTCTCTCAGCTTGTGGGGACCGGTGGATGGCCGGGGGGCAAACACACCGGTCAGTTTATCCAGCATCCAGTGCTTTGGAGCCGCTACACGCTTCAGATGCTTCTTGGGACCACGGGCCATGGCTTAGGTGGGCACGGATAGAGGACCGTCTTCTTGCCTGAAAGTAAGAAAATCACGAGGGAGTCAAATACGTGACGACGAAAGGAGACTAGACTTCGGGGGGTGAGCACACAACAGAACAAACAGATGATGGATTATAAAATTTTACACCTAAAATTTAGATAATGTTATTAACCCATGTTACTCCAATAAATTTAATTTTTTTGAAGAGTAAAGAATCACAGCCCTGGCCAGTTTGGCTCAGCGGTTGGAGTGTTGGCCTGCGGACCAGAGAGACCCGGGTTCAGTTCCTGCTAGGGACACGTACCCAAAAAAAAAAAAAAAAAAAAAAATCACAGAATCTGGAGTTGTAAAAAGGCCTTAGATCTTTGTATCTTCTGGAAGCAACTTAATGTGTTAGGAAGACCACAGTTTTATAGTCAAGTATGCCTGGGTTCTCACTAGCTAGAGGACTCCACAATCGCTAACCCTCTCTGGGCACCAGGGGCAGAATAAACACCTGGCAGGCAAGGGTTGACCATCATATGCCCGGAACAATAAGAACAGTGCCTGGAACGTAGCTTTCTTTTTTTTTTTTATCCTCACCAGAGGACATTTTTCCATTTTTTTGTTGAGATAAGAGTGGGGAGGGAGACACAGAGAGAGAGAAACATCGACATGAAAGGGACACATTGAGTGGTCGCCACCCGCACGACCTAACCAGGGCCGGGGACAAACTGCAACCGAGGTAAATGCCCTTAGCGGGTCTCTCTTGACCGCAGGCCAACACTACCGCTGAGCCAAACCGGCCAGGGCATAGCTGACTTTCAATAAGCAGAAGCTATGATCTACTCCAAATTCACTTCAGAGAAAAAAATGGAGGCTACTATCTCATGGAAGTTACAGGCATACCCAGAATCATATGGGCAGATCAGAACTGATTTAAATGGATTTCATGAGTATATACCTAACAGTAGAATTGGAGGCATGACTTTAGGATTAATTCCTAGAAGCAGGACTGGTGTATCAAAAAGTTAATGTCTAGTTTTGTTAAGAGATTGCCAAATTCCCCTCCAAAATGACTGAACATGTTTGCATTTCTTTTTTTTCCCTTTATTGATTTTGGACAGAGAAGAAGAGAGGAGAGAGAGATAAAAACATCAATGAGAGAGAACATTGATTGGCCCCCTCCTGCATGCCCCCCACCGGGAATCAAACCAGCGACCTCTTGGTGCATGAGTTGATGCTCAACGACTGAACCACACTGGCCAGGCCATGTCTGCCTTTCTACCAGCAATTTATGAGAGTGCCTCATGCCCTGGCCAGTTTGGCTCAGCAGTAGAGCGTCAGCCCACGGACCAATGAGTCCCGGGTTCCATTCCAGTCAGGGGCACGTACCTCGGTTGTGGTCCGGCCCCGGCCGTGGTCGGGGTCGTGTGGGAAGCAACTAGTTGATGTGTCCCTCTCACACTGACGTTTCACCATGTCTCTGGAACATTAAAACTAATTTCAAAAGCACGTTGCGAAGATGGCCCACACAACCCACACAAACAGGTGCCTGATGAACTAGACTAGTGCCACCGACACACGAGCTCCACGAGGAGCAAAGAGCCATTTAGCACAGAGCAGCTGTTCAACTGTAAAGCCTTCTTTCTGAAATAATTTCCTTATATGTGAGGAAAGATTTCCTCTGTACTGAAGGGCATGGAACGGAAGAGGTGACCTGGATATGCGGCTGTGTACGTGTGCTCACTGTGGAGGGTACAATGAGGTAGAAGTTGCCTCCCCAGGATCTACCCCACTTCACCTAACGACAGTCAAACCTCCATATAAATGACTAATGTGGGCAAGGGAGTGTCCGCTAAAACCGAAAGTCCATTACATAATAAAGTTTTCTGAATGCTGATGTTCAAAAATTGATAAATTAGCTAGTTTCCCTGTTTTTACTTATGTAGACACATTTGTGTAATTAAAATTATGTATAAAAAGTTTAATTTCACAGAAAAGTTTTCAATATTACCATAATTTTACATTTACACTGAACAGGTCCAGTGAATGCGTGCATCCAGCAGTCACTGGGAGCAAACAAACGCACCGGCTGGATCGTAGCTGAGTGCACGCGGGAACATCAGTCAGCATGAGTTAAAACTGCTGCAGAAAGTCACGCCAGGAAACAACCAATTACTACCGCTCCAGGCTGTGACCATGTGTTAATCATACGCAGAACATTGTGTATGAGCAGTGACGCTTGGATTTAAATATGTAGACTACAGTTGTAGATATGTAATAGTTATTTATGTTGGAGAAATGACTACAGTGTTTTTTCCAACATATTGCCTATTTGCTAAAATTTGTTAAAAATAACAAAACAGCCCTGGCTGGTATGGCTCAGCAGTTGGAGCGTCAGCCTGCAGACTACGAACCACGGACCAAAGACCAGAGTCCTGGGTTAGCTTGCCGCTAGGGGCACGTACCAAAACAAACAACAACAAAAAAACACAACCCGTTAATTTAATTATAAGCAAATCTTTGTTAAAAGCATTGTAGCCCTGGCCAGTTTGGCTCAGCGGTTAGAGCGTCGGCCTGCGGTCCGGAGAGACCCGGGTTCGGTTCCCGCTAAGGGCACGTACCTCGGTTGCAGTTTGTCCCCGGCCCTGGTTGGTCGTGCAGGTGGCAGCCACTCGATGTGTCCCTTCACGTCGATGTTTCTCTCTCTCTCTCCCTTCCTCTCTCTCCCTCCCACTAAATAAATTAAAAAAAAAAAAAAAAAAAGCATTTTAAAATTATCAGGGTGTTCATTTTCACATACGACATGGACTGGAAATTTCATCTATTAAATCCAAAGTCCATTAAATTGAGGTCGGCAGAACCGAGGGCTTACTGTAACCTCGTTCTGTTCGTCATTGTCATTTACTGTCATCCACCCCTCTCCACGGAGCCTACAAGCTTTTAAGAACCTACCTCCACCCCAATGGTCCGACATGTGGCTCAGGCCTCGGCTAACCAGCCCAGTTACTTCGATTGTTCAGTGTTTCAGGTACGGACACAGTCCCATGAGGACCAAGGTAGAGACTAAGAATCTGACCAGAGAAAAAGGAAACTGGGTACTTGTATAACTGAGCCTCTCGATCAAAGTGAACTCGAAGCCTGTCTTACCTCTGGACTTCCAGCTGCCTGACCAATAAATTCCATTTGTTATTTAAGTCGGTAAGAGCTGAGTGTTCTGTGACTTGCAACCAAACATATTCTAGTTTATACAACGAGCAAGTTAGTACTACCTACAAGACATATGTCATAAACCCATGCTATTCCCTAGGCTTTTAAAGTAGATAGGTGACTTGGCCAGTTTGGCTCAGCGGTTGAGCGTCGGCCTGCGGACCAGAGTCCCGGGTTCAGTTCCCACTAGGGGCACGTACCACCAAAACAATAAATCAATAAAGTAGATAGGTGAAAAAAATATATTTTTGCATGAATCTTTTTCATTCCAGAAAACAGTTTGTTCTGATAATAATGGTCAATGCTATTAGTTTAAATTCCTACTGTTTAGAACCCCTAGAATGGGGATTATTGTTACCAGGTTTAAATTTCTAGTTCCTCAAATCTTAAGAGTTAGATACAAACTGTTATCAAGAAAGTTTAACAAGGCCTAAAAAATTTTCCGGTCAGCATGAAAGCCACCTTCATCTATTTTGGCTCCACTCTGCCACCATTTTAAAATAAAGTCTTCCTGCCTGTCTCAATTATAGTCACATCCATGCTTCTGAGCTTCCACTCTGTTCACTCAAAATGTTTCATTTACCCTGTTACAGACTGTTCAGTGCAAGATACCAAGAGCTGTAAAAACCCTGCAAGCTGACAAGTTAGCCTGACTCGTAGCAGCAGCAGCACCCACAAAGTCAGCACTTCCTCGCCCTGGTTCTGGGAGTCCCAGTACCCACAGGGCAATGGGAAATTGTGGGAGACTTTTGCATGGCATCCATTTTGTTGCAGTCTGCTCTGCTGTCTCTGGCCCCAGGGCAGGGTCTTTCTGAATACACTGTCTGCATTCCTCTAGATAATTGTTTACTCCATTCTTTGCTTATCATTTGTTCCACCGGGGTATTTACTGGAATTTGCCTCAGGTGGGATACTCATTAACTGTTTCACCTGTTTTTCCCCTATATATTATGTGAACTCCCCCCCCCCCCCCCCGAATAAACGAGACTTGATCAGAACCCTGTCTTGTCTCCATTTCTCATGGCTCTTGTCCTTCCTCATCCTCACTCCCCCTCTAGAGTCCTCGTTGCTCGACCTGCGGGTCGGGTCAGGAAATGGTAAGGAACACTTGCAGGGGGAGTGGGTTGCATTACTGGAGAGGAAACTTGAGCTTAGGGAATCCAAATCAGAACCCAAATCTTTCATACTGGGCAGTAGGCATGACTTTGCTTTGTTCACTATATAAACAACTTTGACTCCTTGTAGAACTGGAGGGGGAAAAAAAAAAAAGACTTCCCCTTTCTGACAAGAAATCCAGGACCCCAGTTTGAAAAGGACTTGACTCAAGCCATCACCATCATCAGTACCACCAGAATTAGATGAACATTTATGGACTTGCTTGGGGAGCGAATAATATAATCTAGCACATTTTGAATACTTCTTTTTACAGACTCAGAACCCTGCTTCTAGGTGAAGAGGGGGTGGGAGAAGGACGAGGGGATGAATGCTGTGGAGGGGCTGGGCCACCTCACCTCCCGCGACAACCCACTGACCTGCACATGGTGACCTGCTGTCAGTCCCGTCTTCTCTGCTCTTTCCCCCGCTTTCCAAGGGCCTTTCCTTCCTAACCACTTCTTCTCCTCAAAAGGATTTGCAATAAAAGTGGTTTTTTCCATCTCATATTCTCATGTTTTCGCACGTAGTCTTAGCACCCTTTATTGCCAGCCACCTTGGTAACTACCTGACAGGCTCTTCCTTTTTCTTAAACCCTCACCTGAGGATATGTTTCCATTTATCTTCAGATAGAGCAGGAGGGAGGGAAGAACGAAGAGAGAAAGGAATGTGAGAGTCACATCGATTGGTTGCCACCAGCACGACCCCACCAGGGCCCGGGACAAACTGCAACTGAGGTACGTGTCCTTGGCCGGAATCGAACCTGGGACTCTGGTCTGCAGGCCGATGCACTAGCCACTGAACCAAACTAGCCAGGGCCAGTCTCACCTCTTACTCTGTCCCCTAATTACTGCCATCATGGTGAACAGGAGTCACATATTGAGTATTTATTGTATCTTGGCACTATGTTAACTGATGACCTGAAAATACAGGGGGGTATGAAAGGGATCCATATTCTGTGCTGGGTGTTGTGCTGGCTGTTTTAAGTACATTATTTCATTTAGTCATCACAGCACTTTGTTAACGAAGGTCCAGGGTCATGATAAGTGACAGAACCAGGTTGGAGATTTTAGGTGTATCTGACATAAACATCCATGGTAAGATCAGAAAATTCATCTTGGAATTCAAGACTGTAACTGAGGAAGAAAAACTCTGTGCAATGGAAACAAAAAACAGTGCTAATCCATGCTGAGTATTAAATGTGAGCGCAGACAATGAGTGCTGAGGAAAAGTCCCCTACCTACAGCTATTACTGGCGTACTCTGCGGCAGTGTAGTGCTTCAGTTCTAGGAAACCCGCTGCTCCAGGTACCACTACGGACCAAGGACTGTTTTCTAAGGAAAGTTTTAAGGCCCACAGATGGATAACATTTGGGTAGGTTACTTGACTTTAACGTAAGTCTCGGATTTCTACTACCTTGCTTTTTAATTCAGAGGGGGGAAAAAAAAAACATTTGACTAGAACCTCTGCAGTCCTTCTGAGCTCCCTATTCCAAAACTTATCTGCACCTGCACCCATGCTCCACCCTGCAGGGAGTGGACCAGACGCCCTCCCCCTTCCTCTTCAAGTCCCAATTCCTCCAAGCACCTCCTCCGGTCCTACCTGGTCCTACCTTTGACAAGGAAGTCTCTCCAGCTCTAGCCTATCAGCATCTAAAGGTGCCCCAGGCTTTGCCTTTTTACAAGGCTTCCTGGAGCATCAAAGGGTCTTGGGCTGATTCCCGGTCAAGGACACCTCCCTGGGCTGCAGGTGTGATCCCTGGCCCTGGTCTGGGGCAGCGTGGGAGGCAACCAACTGATGTGTGTGTCTCTCTCTCTCTCCCTCCCACTCTATCTGAAGATAAAAAGAAAAATATCCTCAGGTGAGGATTAAAAAATAAAGAATCAATGGGAAAATAGTCTCAGGTGAGGATTAACCAAAAAAAACGAAGAAATACTGTTCCTTCATCCGGTATAGAGGTGGGCAAAAGTCGGTTTACAGTTGTTCGTATGCAAAAAGACATGCTGGTGATTATTGCAATAGCTTCACTATAAACAAAGAACGACTCAAGAGTACACCGTGTTACTTCTGCCACCCCCTGAGCCGCTACAATGTGGGCAACGAAGTAGAGTGGGCCCAGTCTGCGGCTCCGTTTCCTCCTCCACCCGAGGGGGTGGCGGGACCTGCCCGGGAAAGGGGGGGCTGGGTGGGTCATTATCCACGAAGCGCGCAGGCCCGGCCCGGTCGATACCGAGCCCCCGACGAGCTGACCAGCACCGCTCCCACCATCGTCACCCTCTTTACTCCCCTTTACTTCCTGGGGGTCCTCACCCGCGACTTTCCCCACCGACTGTTCGTTGTTAGACGCAGTGGAAGGGCGGGAAGGGCAGAGACGTCCGCGTGAGAGCGACACCCGGTGGGCTGCCTCCCGCGCGACGCCGACCAGGGCCCGGACCGAACCTGCGGCCCAGGCACGTGGCCGGGACCGGAATGGAGCCCGCAGGACACCACGTTACAACCGCTGGAAAGTGGGTTTAAAAACCACCACCACCACCAGCCCCGGCCCGGTTGGCGTCGGCGCGCGGTCCCGGGAGACCCGGTTCCGCTGGGGGCGCGGGCTCCGGTGGCGGTCTGTCCCCGGGCCTGGCGGGGTCGCGCGGGAGGCGGTCACTCCACGTGTCCCTTTCCCTCGAGGCTTCTCTCTCCCCCTCCCCCTCTACCCGAACAAAAAAGTGGGAAAATGTCCTCGGGTGAGGGTTTTTAAAAAAAACAATAATAAGAAACATAAAAAGGAAACAGTAGGTTGTAAAACCCATTCGGCGGCTCCGGTTCTGGCCGAAGCCCCGGAACCGGCGCAAGACACTGCGGGTCCACGCATCCGCCCAACCTGCGCGGGGGGACGCTCGGTAACCAACGGCAACGGGACCCTTCTCCCCCAGCGACCCGGACACGGCAGGCTCGGCCCCGCTCTCGAGCCCTCCCGTCCGGGGCCCTTCTCCCTCCCTCCTCGGAATTCACCACGAGCCACAGGACGGCCCGCCAGAGGCCTTCAACCCAGCGGACCCCCCCAAAAAGCCTGCTTGCTCAGCAAATGTTGCGTTAACAGTAAAAGCAAAAATAAGGACGTGCTGCGGGTTTTACCTAATTAAAACGAAATGAAGCGGAGGAGGAGCAAGTCGTCGCCCGCCGCGCTCGTGTCTCGGCCTCCGACGCGATGGTGGCTGACGCCCTCTGACCCCACGCCCTCCTGCGCATGCCCGCCTCCTGCGCATGCCCGCCTCCTGCGCATGCCCACTCCAGCGCATACCGGCCTCCTGCGCATGCCCACTCCAGCGCATACCCGCCTCTTGCGCACGTCCCCTCGCCTTCATACCCGCCTCCTGCGCATGCCTGTCTCCTGCGCATGCTCACTTCCTCCGCGGCCGAGGGCGGGCGCAGCGCGCACGTTCGCGTCCGGGTCAGCGCGCCTGACCGGCTGATTGACTGGCGGGGCCGCGGAGGCCGGCGGTAAATGGCGCTGGTGGCGGGAAAGTTGAGTCCCTGGTGCGCCGAGCCTTCGGGGCGATGTGTAGTGACTTCCATAAGGCGGAGTCTGGGACGGAGGTGAGCGAGAAGGAAAGAGGAAGGGCGGGGGCGGGCGCGGGAGGCCGGGAGCCGGCTGGGGCGGGGGCGCACTGGGCCTCGAGTCCCGCCTTCTGTGCACCCAGCCACACCCCACCTTTGCACCAGCACACCTGTGTGCACCCGCCAGACTTATGCACTTGCCCCCCTGTGCACCCCACCCCACCTGTGCACCCGAAACCGGCCCCAGTCACTGCAGGAAACATTCTAATCTATACCGAGTTTTTGTGAGTTTATTTGAGCCAGAATGTGGACAAATGCCGGGAAGCATCATCTCAACGGATTGAGATAATGCCCCAGAGAGGGGCAGTTTTGCACCTTATCTTATGTATTACAGTCCAAAGGGAAGAGCTAGTGGGTCACAAGAAATCCACCGGTGACAGGTCGGGGAGGTGGGAGAAATCAAAGCTGGGAAACCTCTCGGATTGGATGATAAATTGGGTGATACATTTTTTACTTGGGTGGGTGCAGGCTAGTTAGCAGTCAACAATTAACATGATAAAAATAACAATGAGGGTGTGTATGGTCTCCGCCCTGGTGCATTGGGGGAGCCCTGAGGGGTCTGGAGAAAGGGGAGTTTCCCTGACATTCCAAAGGAATGTTCTCGGAGATGCAAAAGACAATAGACAGGCTCAGTTAAGATAAAGATGGACTTTTTTTTTTCTTTTTTTAATCCTCACCCGAGGACATTTTTCCATTTTTTGCACAGATAGAGTGGGAGGAAGAGAGAGAGAGAGGGAAACATCGATGTGAAAGGGACGCATCAAGTGGCTGCCACCCGCACGACCAACCAGGGCTGGGGACAAACTACAACCGAGGTACATGCCCTTAGCGGGAACCGATGCTCTAACCGCTGAGCCAAACCGGCCAGGGCTAAAGATGGACTTTTATCAGGGAAGGTTCTAGCCTAGGACATGACTACCTGCCTTAAACTGCTTTTAGTTAAAAAGTTTTCATTTCAGACTGTCCTTTGTGGTTACTTAAGGTCTCTGAGTTTGCAAGGGTGCCGAGCAGGCGGTCCCTGAGCTTGTCAGGTTAGCACTGGCCCCTTATCATCATCCCCACGCCCCTGGCGAGAGTCCTCCGAGAAGGGCAGCCTGAGGCTGGCTGAAGTGCATGCTCAGAGCGGAGCCGGAGGAAGCCATTCCCGTAGATGCGAAACTCCCTGCGTGCACTTATGTGGGTAAAACTGGAGCCCTCTGCTCGCTAGGATTATGGCCCAAACCTGACACAATGTAACGACGGGCCAGAGGCCGTCACTACGGAAGCTCGGAAAAGGGAGGGGTCACCAGTGGGAGTGTTTATAGATGTTTTCTGGAACAGGCGGTTTTCGAGGTGTCCGTCTCCCTCACTGCCCCAGGTTCCGTTTCCAGCTCTGTTTGGGATTTGGGCTGCTGGCTGGGGTTTGCCGACTCTCACTGCTGAACACCAGAGCCTCACTGCTTGGTATAAGAGCCGCCACAGTTCCACCTTACTTATTTCAATGATCGTTTGAAACCGGGTTACAGTTGTAGTCCGAACAAGCCTAGCTAGTCCAGAAAGTGGGAGCCCAGCACAGTCAACTTCTTGAACAAAGAATTTAGCATCCTGTCCTATGCTTGCCACGCCTGTCTAGTGACCCGAAACCAGATTGCCGCGCTCGTGTTACTTTGGAGTATAGTGGGGTGGGGAAGAGAAAAATAGGCACGGGGCAATGGGTGCTTCTCTGTTCTCTTTCCTTTCTGTTAACAAAACCAACTAAGCAGGCCTCTGTTCCCTTAAGTGCGTATCCCGTTGGGGTGTTTTCTTTCTGTGCACATTAGTCTTACTTGAGGGATTCTACTTGGCATTGTGTTGAGGAAGCTATCTGAAGTCAGAATCTATCCCAAGAAACTGAAATAAAGCTGCTTGAAAATTTGAATTCACTAGAATTACCCCGTTCTCAAATAGCTGACTTTTCCTACATCTTGCGAATCGCGGGGGAAAGACGTTCCATACCGGCTCCTCCAGGAAAACGGCATTGCAGAGGATAGTCCTAGGATATTCAGTTTGTGGCAGTCCTGATGGAGTGGAAACCTCGCATAATGAGCCCTTGATTTAAAGAAGACAGGCATTGCCCTGGCCAGTTTGGCTCAGCGGTTAGAGCGTCGACCTGCGGTCCGGAGAGACCCGGGTTCGGTTCCCGCTAAGGGCACGTACCTCGGTTGCAGTTTGTCCCCGGCCCTGGTTGGTCGTGTGGGTGGCAGCCACTCGATGTGTCCCTTCACGTCGATATTTCTCTCTCTGTCTCTCTTGCTCTCTCTCCTTCCCACTCTATCTGTACAAAAAATGGAAAAATATCCTCGGGTGAGAATTAAAAAATAAATAAATAAATAAAGAAGACAGGCATTTGAATACAACTTAGCACAGAATAATCCGTTCTCACCTTCTGTGCCGTAGCAATGGGATTTTTACATTTATGTCCTCCTGAGCGTACAGGAAAGATTCACAGTGATTTTGGCACTGTTTCGGCATCATCCACCCAGTGGTTTCATTTACACACCGTCGCTCAGTAGTGGTGTACTTCACGTTGTCTCAAAGACGGTAACATGCCTTGAGTTTAAAAATAATTGATGATAGCCCGGCTGGGTGGGTCAGTTGGTTGGAGCGTTGTTCTGTACACCATAGGTTATGGGTTCGATTCCTGGTCAGGGCACATACCTAGGTTGCAGGTTCTATTCTCAGTCGGGCAAATGTGGGAGGCAACTGATCAATGTTTTTCTCTCACATTGATGTTTCTCTCTCTCTCTTTCCTCTCCATCCCTCCCTCCCTCCCTCTCTCTCTAAAATCAAAGAACATATCCTCGAGTGAGATAAAGATATACTAGTAATAATTGATGATCAAAAATTGAAGGTGTCCAGTTTTGGTTGCCACACAAAATACTGTGTGTTGTGGGTTTTGTTGTTGTTGTTTTCTGACACTGCCACCCGCCCATTCTACTTTCTGTCTCTGTGATGACTCTTCTAGGGACCTCAGAGGAGTGGAACCGTAAAGTACTTGTCCTTTTGTGACGGACTTATTTCACCGCAGGCTCACCCCTGAGGCAGAATGTCCTTCCCTTCTAGTCGGAGCGACAGGTCACCGTGTGGATCGGTCCCACTTAGTCTTTCCCTTCATTTGCCCCTAGACACATGGGTGGTTTCTACCTTTCGGGGATGGTGAACGGTGCTTCCATGAGCATGGGTGTGCTAAAGCCTTCTGTGTGGTTTTTTGTCTGGTTGTTGTTTTTGTTTTGTTTTTTATCCTCACCCGAGGACATTTTTTCCATTTTTTGTTCAGATAGAGTGGAAGGGAAAGAGAGAGAGAGAAACATCGACATGAAAGAGACACATCGAGTGGCTGCCTCCCGCACGACCCGACCAGGGCCGGGGACAAACTGCAACCAAGGTACGTGCCCTTAGCGGGAACCGAACCCGGGTCTCTCTGGACCACAGGCCAATGCTCCAATCCACTGAGCCACACCGGCCAGGCTCGTCTAGCTTTTTTTAAAAAGTTAACTGTATTATAATCGTTCTATATTTGCTACTAGAGTAGTACATGCCTATGACAGAAAATTCCCGTTCTCAAGTGAAAAGTGGGAAACCCCACCCCCAGTGTCGTCCTCCAAAGTGAGTGTTTGTGCATTCTTCCAGACATTTCTGATGTCCTGATTTCAGAGGCAGAGATGGAGAATGCGGGACTGGAGGGCGGTCCAGGGGCCTGGGTTCTCGGCTTGGCTCTGCCGTGGACCAGCTCTGTGACTTTGGATAAGCCCTTACCCCTTGGCTGTCACCTTGTGCACGCAGGGCGGGAGACTGCGGTTTCTCAGGTCCCTGGTAGCTCTGCCTCTGGCAGGTGGGCTCTACTGTTTGTGTCCTCTCAGCAGGAGAAGTGTTCTCTGCAGAGTAAACACTCGATAAGTATTTGTTCATAATAGTGTGGTCTGGGGGCTTTTTTTGTTCTTACAAAAGGAATAGGGTGGCCTTTTTTGCCAAGATCAAAATAATCAGTAAGACAAGCATTTGAATACGACTTACAATGGAATGATAGTGCCGTGCAGTGTTTAATGGTATTTATTCAGTAACACTGTTTTGGTTTTGTGCGACAGACTCTCAGAACGCCCGTCCCCTCCTCTCTTTGCGTCCCTTCTGACCCGGAAAGGGGGCGGCGCACCATCATCGCCATGACTCCCTTATAAGTCCCGTCACCTCTGTCTCCTTACATCCTAACCTGCCTTCCTGACTGAGGCTAAACCCAGCTGTCTGCTTGCGCTGTGTCTACCTCCTCCGCGGAGTGTTACTGGAGAAAACCCTTGCGAGGCCGATGGATTCCATTTTAAAGTTAGAGCCATCAACCTCAAATGGGCACACAGTCTAACTGTATTTTGTAGTAGTGAGTTGACTTTCTCATTTCCAAACACTGTCATCAAAACCAAGCCACTCCCGAATCCCAGACACACGTCCTGTTTCCCTGACAGCGTAGCCACATGGGTGTCTAATAGGCATCCCCAACTTCACGCGCTCACGATTGAATGCTGGATCCAGGGAAAGTAGAGTATTAAAGACACGTAGTGTGTGTATCGCTGCTAAATTTATTAGTGTGATAATTATAATACACTTGTGCAGGAGAAAATGATTTTTCTAAGGAGACAACAGGATGTTAAAGTATTGGAGGGACGTGGCCCAGCAAAAGAGAAACGTTAAGTAAATTTGGTAAAATGTCAGCAATAAGCAAATCTAGGTGAAGGTATACACGTGTTCACTGCACCGTCTTAATGTTTCTCGGTAGGTTTGGAATTCTTCACAAATTAAAAATAAGTCGAGAGCAGCTTCAGTGTGCCGCAGCTGAAGCCTGGATTTACCGCCACACCCAGTACACGCCACGCCAGCCGGCTTCCTCCCAAGCCCTACCTGTCCTGTGAAATGCGACTCCCTCTACCTGTTGCCTAAGCCGAACACCTCGGAGCCATTCCTGAAATCTTTTT